AAGTCTCATCAAGTCACCAGTAGGTGTTTAACACAAGGACACTTTCCTGAGTCACTCCAGACTCCCCACCACAGAGAAATGGATAAAAGGGTACAGGGGGGTGGGGTGGGAAATGTACAAGGGGAAAGAAATCACAATTGCCATCTTCTGCAAACAAGAGCTCCTTTCCTAGGATGCTTGTCCTCACCACTGTTACAAGGCTTGCACAAAAAACACCTTTACAGACTATATAAAGAGTCTGAGTAGGCTTAAGAGTGCAAGTTCAAATGCTTGAAGGTCCAGTGATGTTCCTGAACTGGCATTTGGCACTGGCCTTTTATGTGCCAGCAGTCACACAGACATTGCAGCCACTACAAAAAAGACTCTTGTCTTTGGAAGCAGCCCTATAACAAGGTTCAAAATGCCAGTTTTTGTCCTTTTCATCCTTCCCAGGCATGAATACCTTTTCAGCACTGGATTTCAGCATGCTCCCTGCTACAGGGTCTGCTGCATGAGCCATCTGTGCTCTGATGGTCATTAAACACAATGTTTGATAGGTATGTTGCAAAAATCAAATGTCTAATTCCTCCTGAGGAAAAATTAACACCCGTTTTTCTAAGACCTGCACTAATTAAAATCTGCCTGGATTCTGATATATGTCTAAAGCTTGAGCCAGAAGTTCTGGAGGTACTGAAAGTTATGAAAAGTCCTTTTCCTCTTGTTCCATCAACACAATTAGCTACCTACCTTGTGGATATAGGTAACATCTATCTTTTTCTGTAGAAGAATGTTTGAAAAATATTCTTAAATTGAAAGCTGATTTTCCTCTGAAAATCAAAAAGCAGGAGCATACACGTTCAGCCAAAAATTATATTAACCTAGTCAAAGTCAGATGAACTTCTTACAAGCCAAGTTGGTTTTTTTTTTGGCTTTCATTCAAATTGGAAAATCTGAAAAACGGAGCGTGTTCTACTCAAAGAAACCTCTATGGCAATTTGAACTGAAAATAAATAATTCTTAGGGGGTAACTGTAATCCTCAGTATCAGTTTAGAAAATAAGGGCTTTTAGTAGTTATATTATACCAGCTGCAGTAATTTAGAGTTCATTTCACTCCTGCTCAGCTATCTGACATGTTAAGCATGCCTAAACTTGTATTCCCACCTCCTCCTTTAAGAAAAACAGAGCTATGAGCAATTCCAGAGATCAGTTCACATAATTTACCTTGAATACCTGCCTTAGCATGGGATGTATCACATCCTCAGGCAGCTTCGTTTTCTCAGGCTTGTCTTTCACTAAACCAGCATGGCCGTTAGTTTATGATACCAATCTGATACATGTTTATATCAAATCAGGTTAAATGTCTTTGTTCCTGTACACTAGTATTAAAAGATTATTTTTGAAATGCACAAGTGAGAATAACAATAAGCAACAATTTCTGTATCAAGTTAAAAATGTACAAAAAAAAAGGCATGAAAGTTATGATGCTGTTTCATTTTTAAAGGCTTTTTCAAAAGTACTTGGAGGTTTTTTCATAAAAACATAGCTTGAACACATGTTATGGCAATATATACAAATATGTATATATACACATGCTCCTAAAACACCATGACCCCATAGCAGCCTTCCGGTATCTGAAGGGGGCCTATAGGGATGCTGGGGAGGGACTCTTCATTAGGGACTGTAGTGATAGGACAAGGAGTAATGGGTTAAAACTTAAACAGGGGAAGTTTAGATTGGATATAAGGAGGAAATTCTTTCCTGTTAGGGTGGTGAGGCACTGGAATAGGTTGCCCAAGGAGGTTGTGAATGCTCCATCCCTGGCAGTGTTCAAGGCCAGGTTGGACGAGGCCTTGGGTGATATGGTTTAGAGCAAGGTGTCCCTGCCCATGGCAGGGGGGTTGGAACTTGATGATCTTAAGGTCCTTTCCAACCCTAACCATTCTATGATTCTATGATTGGTGGTGCAGTATTTTAAGGCAGACCAAAATCCGTGCAGTTTGACTGAAAACACTACACGTCAAACTGCAGCAGCCTGAGAGCTGATTGACAGGGTGAGGAGCTGGGAACAAACATTGCGCTAAAGCATCTTTGCTCCTTGGTCACATCTGGAGGCCTTGGTGCCCCTGGAAAGGTGTTGTCTGTCATCAGCATGTTGGCACTACTTCTTCACAAACCGCATGCTATCAGAACAAAAAGCACCCCTAAAATATTGCAGCTGCCAGTCATATTAAAGACCTCAATGTATTTTGTCCTGTACCAAAAATGTTCATGTACAACAACGTAAAAAGGGCACTATGAAAAGCTCTATAGAGTGGATCTGGAAGCATCTCACACAACAAGTACAATTCAGATTTTATCAGATGACAGGCACCTCATTTAAAAAATGAGATTCTCTCTTACCTGCTTTGATTCCTGTGTATAAAGGAGATTACCTGGAGTAACAGAAACAAAGCATGAAAACTCTAGCTCCGGAAAAGAATGTATTGCTGAGGTGCAGAAGGAAGAGAGGACCCTCTAGCTCCCACCCAATAGCCCCTCAAAAGCCATAGGACACCTGGGCTGGGAGGGAATGGCAGGGACAGACTTGCAGCACATGGCACCATAGAAAAGGTCAGCCACACTGCACCCATGCAGAGCTGGGAGCAGCCTTCAGAAATAAAACATGCCCCTCTGATTAAATTATGCCTTAGGCAACATCGCAGTTGAGATCAGGAGGTGCAAAGATAGATTAGCATCTTTGGAGGCTTCAGATGCTGAACTGCTTCTCTAAGAGGTGCTGTACCAAACCTCATCAGTATTTGCTGCTCACAAAAGAAACCCTGCACATTGCTGCTGCCTTTGGTGAGACTTCTGCACTTATCCCAAAAGAGCAACAAATTCAAAGGAGAAAAACAGCAGCACAAATCTAAACAAAAAGAAAGACATATTTTGACAGAGTCCAGTTGATGAAGACATGCAAAGTGCAAGGACAAATAATGAAAACATTAGGTATCATTCAATCCCAACAGAAGCAGTCTCATTGGCCTGACCACCTTAGACCCAAATTAAAAAATTACATATAGATTTTATCTTTTATTCTAGAAGAATTTCCTTCATGACTCTGAAGACAATACTTTCTTAAAAGTCCTGAAAGAATAAATTGATGATTTATAAAACATCTGTCTTTCCTCCATTTGTGATGATACGCTTCACTTCCAGATGTAATTAAGTCCTTATTACTGGCTTTTATAACTGTCGTGGTTTAACCCACAGCCAGACAGCTTGTCCACTCACTCCCCCCCCACTTCTTGCCCTCCCCCTACTCTCGGAGGGACGGAGAGGAGAATCAGAAAGAATGCAACTTCCATGGGTTGAGATAAGAACAGTTTAGTAACTAAGGTATAACACAAATCACTACTGCTACCACCAATAATAGTAATGACAAAGGAAATAACAAGGGAAGAGAATACAACACCCCATCACCAGGCGACTGATAAATTGCCCCCCCAGCCCAATCAAGCACCAACCGATACCTCCTTCAACCCTGCAGTCTCCCTAGTCCTTCCGGGTAACTCCCAGTTCCCCCCCTGGGCATGACGTGCTGTGGTATGGAATACTTCTTTGGTCAGTTTGGGTCAGGTGTCCTGTCTCTGCTTCCTCCCAGCTTCCCTCCTCCCTGGCAGAGCATGAGGCCCACAAAGTCCGTGGCCGAACCAAAACATCATTGTTTTTCAGCTTTGTTCCCAGCTGAAAGTCAAAACTCAGCACTGCACCAGCTACCAAGAAAGAGAAAAATGACTGCCACTGCTAAACCCAGGACAATAACACAGCGGAAACCCAGCTACAACATTTTGTATCGTGATTCTGTGTGCTAAAGAAACTATACCTGAAGTTAGAATCCCTATGCATATCAGTCAATGAGTCTTAGGATTTCCCTTACATGAAATAAACCTTGTAAAATTGTGGTCATTAAATCAGGTTTCAGAAGCATTTCTAAACTTTAATGTCCACAACAGGAAAATAAACCAACACTCAGTTATATCTACAGAGCCCATTTATTTCCATAAGTTAGCATTGCCTCCATTTAAACTTTCAAGTAATGTGGCACAACAGGAGTGAATACTTGGAATTAAACAGTTGGTGCTGAAAACCTGGCACCCACACTACCAGTATTCAGGTGTTTTCGCTTTGGACTAGCTCTGGTGGGATCCTGTGCACTCAGTATCCATTAGCAGAGGAGTGTGTTAGTTGCAGTACTGGAGGGCATCATGTAGTTTATTTTTATCAGAGGGAAATACAGTTTGTATACTCTGCAGATGCTTCACAATGACACAGGCTAAACTCTGGAGAACTGGGATGGCAGGAGATGGCATCAAAAGCAGAATTTTGACCAAAATGTAAATACTAATGAAACACATGCACTGTCAGTATAAAAACCTCTTTCAAAACTTTGCCTAAAAAAGTTTCAAATAACATTTTAAGTTACTGTAAACAGAAAACATTTAAAAAAAAAAGTGTTTGCAAGATGTTTTCTGTGTCTTAAATTATCACTCTTCTACGGAATTAATTACTCAAATTTCTCTACTTCTATGAAATTCCACCATAGAAATACAAGAAAGAAAAACATGCATAAATTTAAGGCATTTTCCTGTACACCCTTAAAACAGTTGATATTCTCGATATATACAACATATATACAATACACAGTCTCCCTCTACTGTAGTGGTATGGCTACTAGTTGTACTTTTCTCCCAGTTTAGGAAGTTTAATGTTGCTTAGTTCCGTAAAAGTTTCCTTGAAACATATGACTTACTGACAGCACACAGCTCAAAATGTAGTGCGTTAAATATTTAAGCATTATATTCTTGATAGAGTGATAACAAACCTTAATCTTAAGACTGAGTAGTCTAACAATATAAAACTGAATTTCTAAGCATTAAAAATCTTTTCATCTACAACTGTTTTTAAAAAAGGGTAAAATGAGCTCACATTTGAGCCAAATTTCAGCTTGAACATCATTCCAAAGATGAATGAATTTCTCTGTTTCTGCTGAGATAAAACTGGGAAGAAGACATTGGCAAAGCACCTTTTCCTTGGTGTTTCAGAGCCCAGTTAATTGGAGTGTGCTCAAATCTCAAACCCACAGATTAGGCAAATATCCTACTCAAATCAACAGATCTGTTGTAGCTTGCCTTACACCTTATTCATAAAAAAGTATTTCATTTATTGCCTTGTCTATGCAGTATTCTTAGTAGTAACTATTACTTATTTCTGCCCACTGACCAATGATATAAAACTTTAAAATCAGTTTTGCCTGACTGATAACTGAAGGTCCACAAGCTTCCCTATAGAAAATACTCATACAGCAACGGAGGCTGCATCTAAATGCTTTCGCTCACTTGGAGGTGATTACTCAGTTGCTGTATTTCCTATACATATGTACACAGAGAAACACTGGCTAAACCAGTAACCAATTCCAGACTGGTGGAAACTTTAACATGTATAAAATTAGACCCCAGGCTAAAATCTTCCTGCCTCACTGTCAGGAATACTAATTCTCAGAAGATGTTCCTATCCGCTACAGTATAACAACTCTGGAATGAAGAAACCTTGCCACCACAAAGGTGTGGAAACAGTTGTGCTTCTGCATCAGCGTGCTGGTGCTCGCAGTGAGCCAGAAGTCGACAAATCAGGCTACGGGAAGAACACTAGTAAGTGAAACTCAGCAGCTTTATCTCACCCTTTCTCTGAGGAGAGTCAGGTTCTTCAGGGACAGCAAGCAGGATACATTCTTCACAGTACACATGACTACTACTTACACATTACTTAAATCTATTTTCAGTGACAATGCATCCAAAATCCTAGTCTGAAGAACCTAAGGTTTGTTAAAATATGACACTGTAATAAAAGAAATAGTGAAGAGATTAGCTCCCTCATAGTACAAGTTCTTACTTTCTACGCATAAACCAATCATATTAAAACAAAAATTTGCAACATCATAAAATATAGTTCTGGTAATTGACTCGCTCGGTATCCATCTCAGCTGTCACTTGTTCCTCCAGTTTGCAGAAGAAGGGTAAGGTAAGGGGATAAATTCCCGCACCTTCTTCCTCAGGTAGAAATGAAACACCAAGCCAAAAGCTGTACATGAAGATCATGATTTCTGGTCTTCCTCTGATGGGACAACTTCCAAGAGGATTTGCAATGTCACGGTTAGCTTGTCTGCAAAGATAAAAGCATACACATGGGAAATTGTGGTGGGGATGGAGAAGGCAGAAGCAGACAGGAAAATTACCTTAGCTGCTCTACAGCCTACTTGCACATGTGGTTCACAGTAGTTATATATACCAGGTGCATATATCATTTAAAAGACTGGTTTGATTTTTTCTTCTCTTTAACTATGGGGGTTTTTTTGCCTCTGGTCCAAGCCTACACATGTACTATAATAATGGAAGAGTATAGATGTATAAACTTGTTCAAAAAAGGTCTTCATGTATTCAAAAGCTTTCTTAAAGCCTAACTAGTCTGCACAACTGTCACTCTGGACATTTATTTCCTTCAGGTAGTTTTGGTGGAGGTTTTTTAGGGCACTGATTCATAAACGGCACAGTTAATTTATCTACAGAATAGTAAATCAGCATTGTCTTACCACTCCTTTCACTTACCACTTTTATCTTAGTAACTCATTTTAAACAAGCAGGAGTTGTTGTAAGAGAAAGTTCTGATATGCCTGGTCTAGCTCGTCATCAGTGTAAAGCAAGGATAACACAGTGCAACTCACAGAAGATATGAACTGAAACTACTTTCCTGCTCTCCTGTCTAAGGCATACTCTACCACCTTTTGCTCTTCTCTCTGAAGGTCACCAGTTCAGTGCAAAGCCAGGTTGCCCTTAAACTATAAACTGATGGGGTCAGGGAGGCTGAGAGCCAACAGGGACTACATTTTCCCCCCATCTCCCTCCCCTACCTACAGCGGGGACTTTGCAGCTGGGCTGAGCATGGCCGGAAGGAAGAGCAGGAGGAAAGCCAGCTGCAGGAATCCAGCAGGGCTTCGCCCCAGCCATCCCAGGTTTGAACCTGAGCAAGGGAAGAAGAAAAATAGACTTTCTGTCAAGCTGAGCTGTGCTGTAACAGCTCTTGGAAAAGGGCACGGCAGCAGAGGGGAAGCCTGGGCATCTCAAGAGCTGTCTGGGATTTTAATATCCTGTTTGACAAAATGGACAGAGCCACCTGCAGCAAGACCTTGCCCTTGCTGTAGCGGGAGGTGGCTGCCACTCTTTCACTGACGCACAGAAGCTTTGCTCTGTGCTGGGATGAAGCCATGGAGGAGCAATCAGACAAGCTGGGGGGGGGGATGGACACACACTGCAGTGCTTGTTTGCTGTTTCATTTGGTTGCAACATACTCAGGATAAGACAGTATAAGGAGTATTTCATCCCCAAAAATGTTCCAATCTGTATCCAGTCAGTATATCTATATCATGTGCTTTGAGCAGTACATAGGTTTACAGGACTAGTTTCACATTTCTAACAAGACAACTTACCATACCATGACAGTAACTACAACTTCCCATCTCCCTGACCTGTAAATCTTAATTTTCCCTTTCAAGAGGAGAATTCACAGTAAATGGGTCTCAGGGGACAGCCTCTAGAAAAAGAATAGACCTGGTATCTGCATAAGCACCCCATAAAACTTGGGTGGGGAAAGAAATCAGTAATTTATTGGATCTGTATGAGGCTAGACATGAAATCTACAACAGCAAAACCCTGACATGATTTCCACAGAACCCAACGTAATAAACTTGACAAATATAAGCAAACCAAGCTTATAACACTGTCCTGAGTGATCAAGTGTCATCTCCTGGTGTTTGTAAATAACCCTGAAAGAGACATTTTGTTGCATAAACAGATCTCTTTGCCGGTATGGGCTCAAGCTATGAAGAAAGCAGGATGCAACTTTTAAGCTCCTTGCAATTCAATCCACCGTAAAGAAATAGATGTTTTAAATATGAGTCTAAGGTTGGGTTTTCAAAGGAGAAAGTCCAAATAGAAGCATTCTCATGCTGGTGCTGCATCCTTTTACACACTGATCTGCTTTGTAGGATTTGCTAGGCTTGACTTTCTTTTCATTTTTGCATTAGTTCTATAAAAAGCGAGAAAGTGGAGGTCAAATGAAGCCTGTACTAGCTGGAAATTATTTGTCCCAGCACATCTGGTGCTACAGCAAATTTATTTATTTTTTTTTGGAAGAGGAAAGAACAAAATGTTATTTTCACTGCAAAATACCACCCAAACCCTATTAAGCCCACAAACTGTGATGTTACCTTTTGTTCAACACAGTAATTTGGTAAGGGGAGTGGGCAACATAAATGCCATTAAGGACAGTCAAACTGAAAGATGTTCAGCCTGGGAGAGGATTTTGTGGGTAATCCATTTGAGGGCTACTGTAACCAGCCTGAAACCCCTTTCACAAATATACTTATCTCTGATCCTAGTAAAACCTCTTCTGAATATCCAGTGTAATCTTATGTAGGGCTGGTCTGTACCCCTGTGTCCTTGCGCCAGTGTTGTCCTTTACTTAAATAGCACGTGTTCCACATGAGTTTTATGAGCAGCAGTCATTTCTTGTACCCATGTCTGGGTAGCCGAGCAAATAAAGTTCCCCACAAGGCTACTTTGCAAATGGGTAGAGAGCCCCACAGTGCTCTGTTCATGCACTGATCTGCACAGATGAAGCAACTTGGGAATAGTCTTGTTAGCACAGTGTCATGTTCAGACTAATCAGGCTTTGACTCTCCCCATGGTACTACACAAAATGCTTTGTTGAAATCTAAGTTATTGGATCTATCACATTCTCCTTTGTCTAGAAAAATCAGTTATCTTCTTAAAGAAAGTTACCCGGTCCATCTGGCAAAAATCTACCTCTTAAATTACAATCCCACTCTTTCCTGCTGTCTTTTACTTCATGTCTGGCCTTATTCTTTCATGCTTATATACACTTAATGCATATTGTTTCAAGGTTAGAATATTAAGCTTGCAGCTGCCCAATGGCTTTTCTATATCTCACAGAGGTACCTTAAGTGAATTCATGCTCACTCAATGCCTTTGAAAAATGCTCTCAAGCTATACAATGGAGCTCCCTTAACACAAAATAATGCCAGTTTAATGACTCCACACAGAAGGTTTATTGCTTCGAGGAAATAAAAAAAAAAATCTTTATATTCAAAAAGTAAATATCCACTCTGCTCCACCTCAAAACTGTCAGCATCAGTTTTCAGTCATTACTGTTGTTATTTTGGGAATTATAATTGCAAAGCGAACAAGCTGTTTCACCCACTGACTGGCATCCACTGCTTTCCCCTCTGAGCCAGTAAACTGTGCCCCTCCATACGTATTACACAGGCAACAGGTCTTTCTAGGAAGGGAATTTTGTGTTATCTAAACAGCTAGAAGATTCACCTTTGTCACAGCTGGCAGAAAAAGCTTCACATCTACCCAGTCTACCTTAAAGAGAATATTTTTTCCATCACCCATGTAATGTAGTCCAACACTGGCATCCTGTGGCCAGAGATTCAAGCAACGATTCAAAACCTCTCAGACTTCACAGAAAATGCCAGAAATCTCCTGGGTTTGATATGGGAAAATTTCCAAAATGTCAGGGCTGAGAAATTATAAACAGACAAAAACCCAACTATTTAATACAACGTCCTTTTGCATATAACTGTTTTCCTTTGCACTGGAGCTTTCTACCCATTCCCAGGACATTGAAAGAATTTTATAACCCTATGCATAAAAAAATAAGATGAGCAGATTGTGCTAGCATTAAGGTAACATCTTTTTCTGTAAATACTTTCTGTCCTATTGTCTATGGCGTTCCCAGCATGACTTCAGAGGGAAATTCATAGATCCTGCAATAGGTAGCACATAACTATGCAGCCTATATTTATAGAGAGAAAATACATACAAAAGGTTATAGTATAATAACATATATATGAAACCCCCATTCTTTTATTCTGAGCAGCTCATTTTAAATCGTCCTTTAAGACAGAAGCACAGACTACAATATGCATTTCTGATTTGGCACCTATACAAGAAACTATTTTTAGTTGAAAGCTTTCATGGCTTGAGTTTTTCTTTTGCATCAAAAGAGATATTCTTTCAGTTTGATTTAATAAATTATCCAACATTTCTGAAATATTTTGTCTATATTCTTGTTTCATGTTTTGAAAATTACCTGCACTTTGAAAACCTATCATACTGAGCAACAAAAACCAGAATAATGGGAACTGTAATAAATGATAGTGACTTCTTTCTAATGTAAATGCTCCAAATAACCTTTCTCTAATACATCAGAACTTCTACAAATGCTTTCAAAAACTTTCAGAAATGTATAAATATTATTCTTAGGGTAATTCAGATGAAAATACTACAGCCAAGTTACACAAAAGCTGTTTTTCATGAAGCACAGAAACCATTTTCCACAGAGGTGTATCAAACTCAGTATTTTTTGTCATTATTTTGTCAGGAGCCCCTGCTAAGGACAGTGTCCTCATAGCAAGCTCACCTGCACCTGTCCCATTCCAAATACTCCACAGATGCATGGTCTCAGTAGAGTGCACCAAGTCTATCCTGTCATTCCCAACTCTGATTTTTAAGTTTCCAAACTGATTCTCCTGATAGTGTAATACTCTCTCTACTAGCGTAGGCCAACAACCAGGGGAGGGAGATGAGTGATTTAAAAAGAACTGTTTGTAAGAGAGTGAGAGAAGAATATGACAGAGGGAGAGGCATCTAGTCTTTTAAAGTCAATCATTAGGTGAAGAATGTATCTCATGTATTAGGTGTAGATGTATCTCATTAGTTAACGAACACTGACTGTAACCAGCAGTGCAATGCTATACTATGCACCAAAAAGAAGCTTGCATTGTCATCACCAGCTAAGAGCAGCTGAGAGGATTGATCGGGAAGTATTTCACAACACAGGGAGCCCTGAGAAATTCCTGGAGGCAGTATGAAGGAGAGGAGTTCACCGGGGCTTACCTAGGAGGTTTCTGAACCACTTTGGCTTATTGTCCCATACAATAAAGAAGTAGTAGGCAGGAACTCCAGTCAGGGTTATTGCAAATCCAATCCCTGTATTCACTGGATCAGAGTAAAGTGACAGTGCAACCATGAAGAGGCAGGTGAAGGAAAACAATGCTGGAATAAATAGAGGTACCTGAAACATAACCACACAAAGAACTATTACTTTACATTGACCTTGCTACTGAATGACTGTGGCATTTGATGTTCCATTAAATGTAAATTGGATAAAACCCAGCAGTACAGGATAGTTCCGGAGAAATACAGGTGTCTAGAACATGGACACAAAATGTCCGTGACTGCAGAAACCAAGCTATGCAGAATGTTATGCAGTAAGTACCACAGAAGTCTTTTAATTACACACTAAAACACTGCAGTGTTTTACATCCTCGAAAATGTAAGGGCTGTAAATAAGTTACTTTGCAAAAGTCCTTTCTCTAATCTCCCAGTAGATAAGTAATCAGGTCTAACCTCAGTAAAGATATCCTCTTTGATAATTACCTATTAGAAAACACTTTAAAACACAACCAGGAGCTCGAGTCACCTTTTAAAACTAATAAGAACATATTGATTTTCTTCCTAAGGTAAAAATTAAAATCTAGAAAGAAGAGAGCAAATTAGACAATAATTTGACTGGTGATAAAGATTTTTGATAACATTATGCAAGTGGTAGCTACTGAAAAAGCACTTTCTGATTGTATGACTGGTAGTATTGCCAGTGTTGAAAGCAGAAAAAATAAAAATATCAGATTAATTCTTTCAATTTTCAAGAACATCACTACAACCACTATGGTAGCACCTCTCTGAAGGAAACACCTAGAGGCATGGTTGAGATGTTTGGTGTAACGGAGAGCTGGAGAATTCCTTGGAGATTATTCTCCTCATTTCATGCCTTGAAGCATTACTGTTCCTCTTTTGTGGACTGTCAAAACCTTTTTTTATTATTATTTTTAGTCAAAGTAAAACAGGTAGTGCTTTTGACCTTATTTATGGATATACACACAGGAATGCAACACTGCACATTCTTAGTTCTTCAAAAAATAAGCTTCTTGGCAATACATAAACAGGGATAGTTTCCTCCATTTTTTTCATGATGGACATTATCTTTCCAAATACATAACAGGACAACTTACTTTGTAAGATGTTACTTCAAACAAGCAAAAAAAATGGCCGAACCAAAGCTAAAACAGCTACTGTTCAAAGGGCCAGACTATTAGCACTTTCAGGGTTCACAATAACTGTTTGCAAATCCATTGCAAGTCCCAGACATCATACTAATAGCATTAACAACTCATTTGTGCATCAAATTGGCATATTGGATAGGCAATGAAATAAAGGTTTAATATTAATGCTTATGCTTAACATGAATTCTTATGAATTAACATGGTGGCAAAATTATTCAGGCCTTTATCAAAGAAGAGATTAAATAGAGGACTGGCTGAAAATCAAGTTGGCACATGTAACCCCAAGATGTGCAGTTTGAATCCTATGGACTACACAGGACTAGAGGCATTTTCACACAGCCTGAATCACACTGCCTCAATGCAGCAGATAGGCAAAACTAAGCAATTACCTTTGGCACAGCAGCTTCAGTGGCTGCCACCGAAGCACCACGGAATAGACAAGAATTACCTTTCAGAAGTGAAGATAGCTGAAGAAGCACTGGGGATCTTGCAGGAAAACACTCAGAGACCTTTCAGTGCAAAAGACTATTTTCTATTGACTCTACTTTTCTCAAAAAAGAGCTTAGCTTTCTACATCATAAAATACTCCTTTACTGTCTGGACACACAATGGATAAAAGGGAGAAGGATCCATGTAAACCAGTAGAGAGTAGAGGTTACCTTGAAAGGACGAGGCATATCAGGACGTTTATATCTGAGATAAATCAACCCAGCAACTACCAGTCCAATAAAAAGCCACCTGGCAAAACTGAGGAAATTCAGGAGGCTGTAGAGATCACCGGTGAATAACATTATCATTGTGAGAGGATGCTGCAAAAGAAATTCAGAGCATAAGAGAGGGGGGTTAGTGGATTGTTCTTTATTATTTTACAGCCACAATGTCAATTTTTTCCACAGGGACAAGTAGCACAGCCTTGTGCAGAGACCCCTGAGGGCCACAGATGTGGGGCCTTCCTTTGTCATACAATCAGGTGTGTAATCGATCCAGCTGTCCCCTGAGATCACATCTGATAAATATATATCTGTCTCATGTGGCCACGTATCTGTGACCAATACATATTTGTCCATCGTGTCCTAGAAAAACACACACAGGCATACAGCCCACTGCATCACCAAAATGCTTGGGCATCCTGGGCACTGTTCTTGTGGGACCTGAGAAATATATTAGCCCACTGTTTTACTCGCCCGTCACTGACGCAGATGACAAGAGGAGCTGAGTCTTGGTCACATCTGATCATATGAAAGCAGAGGTTTCCAGGTGTCTTGTAGAAGGACAAAGTCTTACAGTCCTGCAACCTGTAACAGGGGAAGTCTGCAAAGAGGGCACGGTAAGTGGTAGCTACACACTACAGGATGACAGCTGGGCACACTGGTTTGCCAACCAGCTTGTACTTTCACTGTGCCTTTCAAGCTTGCAGGGTGGACTGACTACACATCAGAAATGCAAACATTTCTAAGCACAGAAAATCATTGAGGTGTCACTCAGGCAACTACTGAAGAACAAGAAAGAGAGGGGACACTAGAATAAATGTATTTCCTCATTATAAAGCTGTTCTGAAAGACAAGGTCTCTGTGAGGCAGGTAAAAGCTCACGTATAACCTAGTGCTGTGCCTAGGGTTAGGTTATTAGCGTAGGCTACAGGGATCTATTTTAGGGTAGTGTCTTGACAAAAGCATAACTTTTGTAGCTTGGATTAACTCTGCAGGGTAATCCGCCCTTCCCATGAGACAGCCTATGCCCACAACAACACAGTCCTTGTATTTGGGGATGAAGCAATGAATCAAATCCAACACAGCCCTTATTATTCAGCAAGAGGGATGATCCTGGCAGCCACAGCCTCTCCAGGTATATAATGAGGCAACAGGTGAAATCAACTGCAGATGCAGTAAAACACTGGGCTAAATCTTAATGTAAGGAAAACTAACTTTTATTAGTTACCTAGATTCTCAGCCTCTTTGTCTCTCTCTCTCTCTCTCTGCCTTTTAAGCAGTGAAGACAGCAAGAATTTTGGACCAAAAGGGTCAATATTTGAAATGTGGGTCTCTGGATTCCAGCCTCTAATGACTTACAAAGTGCTTGGTGCTTTATGCTGATACTAAACAAACTCCTCTGTAAAGGTCAAAGGAAATTTTACCACTGCATTATATTGGGCAAGATTTCTTCTATATAGACTCAGCCCCTAAAAGTTTAAAACCTCAGTTATAAGTATGATAAAGCTAGAAAAGGCCACAGACAATGAAGAAGAGGTATCAAGAGATAAAGAATAACTGTGATTGCACGATTTCTTGGAGCTGTTTCATACACATCTATCAAATACCAGAACATACATACATGAATGGATCTCTTAATTACTAAGAATGGTTTCCTTATTTAGCAAACCTCAAACACTGAACATGTTTATTTTCTGTTTATCCTCAAAAGCTTTCTTTTCTTACAGTGTGGAGACCTTGACAGAAGAAATAAACCAGGAAAATGCTAAAAGGCAGACTATTGATGCAGAATATGTTCTGCAACTACTCTGTTTGCAATAAGGCAAGAAAAAATTATCTCTGAATGAAAGACATCTTCATGTGGGAATATGACTTTTTCAAAGGAAATCAATGCATTGGTGTAACAGAAGCAGATGCAATAGCAGAAAATATATTTCAGAAAAAAAGAAAGTATTTCATTCTACAGAAAACAATGCCTTTACGTGAAAGATACTGCTACTCACTCAAAGCAATAAGATGCAAAGTAAATGCTTATGTAAAATGAATTCCATAAAACTTTTCGCCATAATCACATTGCCTAATATTGAAAATGTGGAAGCCTGCAGTTGTATGTGCACATATAAAATTCAACGCTTTAGCTGGCGCTTCAGAAGTGAGCTTATAAGCATGTAGCTCAAAAACTGATTTAAATTCCAGCATAAGCATCTGATCTTACTACCACAGACTCATAAGGGCACATGTGTCTTCTGCCATGGCTAGATCTCACAGATGCAGAGGTTCTGTCCAGATACATTACAGTCATTAGTCCCAAAAAAGAGCTAAATACCCATGGTTACAAAAACTGCAAGTTAAGTGAAAATCTTCAAAGCACTTTGCAAACTGAGGTTTGAGGTCAGTATTTTGACATTTTGTCTTAACATTTTACCATACAAATTAGCCTGCAATGCAAACACATGGCCAACATTTAGCTCTGCTGCTATTTTGGAAGTCAGTAATAGGATTTCTACTATAATGCTGGTGTATTTCCTTAGACAATTCACAGACTATTGCCCAGGCACACGTTCTCTCATTTTTTAATCACCACTACACTGCACTGCTGAGGGTTCCCCTTCCATTATCCTAATGCATAATTGTTTGCATTTTTCACTATAAGGTAGTATAATGAGCCTTTAGGGTGCTCCCAGATGCTGGTGTTTAGCTGCATTTTCAGTTAAATGAATCCGTTTTTTTGTTTGTTTGTTTGTTTAAGTGGAATTTGTTCCTCTGAAAGGGAACTAGCTTATCACTAGCAGGACCTTAGAAACAAAATGCAATAAGACATGAATGAGGTGGAGATAAGTAGGAGATAAGTAGACAAGTGCTACCAACAAGATTGCAAGGAGGAGATGATAGAATAAGAACAACTCCCAAATCTCCTTCCTCTCTTTACTGTCCTCTGCCCTGCCCAAAGCCCACGTACACATTAATAAATGAGACTCAAGCCGTGCCCAAATTCTGTTCAAATCCTCCAGAGCAAGGCTGTAATATGAATTCTTGTGCAGGAACATTTGTTTATATGATTTACCAAAACAATGACAGCTGGCAGAGGAGTGTGCTTGCGGACATGAATCATGGAGAGAATTTCCGGAAGGTGACCCTCACGGGATGCAACGAAGAACATCCTGGTGGGAAATAAATGTGGACAGATTTTAAATGTGCTCATTACTGCAACTAGGCAAAGCAGCTCATGAAAGTCACAGAGCACAGCAGCACTTCTTAGGCTTGTTTGAGGCATTCTGAATGAAAAGACTAGCAGGAGAAGCCTATAAGCAGAAATCAAAGTCATCTCTGAAGGTGTCCCCTCCTTACTTTATGCTATGATCAGTGTTTGGAATTGGTTAACATTTTTTCTCCGATTTCCCTCCTTCATATGAAACAAAGCAGCCATTAAGTGCTATGCTCAGAGGGATCCACTTCCAAATATTTCAAAGGGTTTTAACAATAAGAATCAAACCCAGCAGGAACAAAGGTGAGAAACAGACCCACATCTGGTAACCATTACAGTCATTTCTCACTTCCTGCTAAAGGAATGAATCCTACTCGCCTATCCTCTTGCTTCCTTGCTTCAAGTGTATATCCTATGCCCTTCACCCCCAGTAATATTAGCAATGCTTACCTGGAGACCGCAAAAATACCGCCATTCATAGATCCAAAGCAGGAGAGAGCAACAAATACTGGTACAGCTAAAGAAAAGTTTCCCATCAGTCGTTCAGCAAAGGTCTGTTAGAGGAGAGAGAGAAACACAGTGATTTTTCCTAAAACACAAGAGTCATTTTTATCTATTAACTAATCACTAATAAGTATGATAAGTTCTAGTTATACACCTTTTCTACATCCCTCACTGGCAGTTATGCTGTGCTTGTTACCTCTTATTTTATGTTGCCAACACTACCGTGGATGAGGTCTCCCACCCTTACTCCTGACTGTGTGTGGAAAATCGTCAGTTGAGGCAATATTGTGGTGGTCCTTTTTTTTTGTCAGTTTAGACCATTATGACTCAAAAAAAAAAAAAAAAGAAAAAGAAAAAGAAGACCTAATCTGAATGGATCATGGCCTGATCTGCTTACCTAATAATTTTTTCCTCCAGTCTTCACTTAGGTGATACTACCAAGTGGTATAGTCCATCCGTCCATGTTTTTTTGTTCTAGATTACCAGAAGAGCCTTAATTGGAGTTTGAGGCACCACAGGAGACATGCACAAATTTCTTCAGGTTTGCAAAATCTTTTCTTTCTAAATCTCCCATGAGCTACAGAATTTGGTCATTTTTAAATACCACGTCAATTGAAATAGCCACAGGCAGTACCACTACTGGAAAGTAAATGGAAATTTTTATTTCCTCATTGTGAGTCAGATACCGTAAATATGAACATCAGTGTCATCACCACAATTCAGCAAGAACAACCAAAGTAATACTGCCAAGCCAGGTTGTTTTGCAACTCCTTCCCAAATGAACTTCAGTGTTCACAGCAACCCCCTTCCTAAGTACTCCAGATGCAAAGTTGTACAGAGACAAGAAGCAAGACAGCTTCTTGATACAAAAAGCAGTTCAGAACTCCCACTTCCACAAGTATCTGTGTTTTTACTGCTTCCCAGTAGTCTGGCCTACAGTTTAGCACAGAATTATTCAAGCATACGCTTGACTATAAAATTTAAGTCCTATTGACTTTGTTTTATCAGATAAATAAATATGGTCTAACATTATACCATGAATGCTATCTATGGCCTTAAGTGCAATCCCACTCAACCAAAAATCAGACTAATTTCACCAGGATACCACTATATGGTGTAAGAGGAGCCACAGAAAAGCCTGATTGTATGCTTCCCCCAACTTTTTTCCCCGAGAAATAAGAATACATCAACAAACACAACTGCAGAAGGGATATAGCTTTGTATTTTTCTTCTGTAACTTACCACTGCTACAGCTTTTGAAAGGAGCAATTCCCCAGCACTGATTGTAGTGAAATAAGCCACGTTTGTTAACACATAGCCAACTGTGACGATAATCATTGAAATGCATATTGCGAGGGGTATGTTTCTGAAATACACAAGGTAGCTCATTATTTTGCAATCTGGTTGCTATTCCCTGAACATGAAACAAATAACATGAGAAGAAGCCACTAATGATGGTGAATGCACATTTGGTGATCCTGAAATACCATAATTGAAAAGTACCAGTAAAAAAATAACACATCTAAACAAAATCATCTATATAGAGCAAATAGGTTTATAATGAAGAGGTGAGAAACCATTTGAGGAAGGAGTAATTTGGGGACACCAAGAGGTTGTGATCCCCATGCTTCCCATGCAAGAAGTATTGCCCATTTGAACTGCCTACCCATATACACTTTCAAGCTGAGCCCAATGGGAAGGCAGCAGGCATCAGTGCTTGAACCAGCAATAAAGCAGATGACAGACACAGGTGATCCAGCTCTCTATCAGGAGAGCAATCACAATAGCATCTACAAAAACCTACTGCCACTGAGTGAGTGCCCATCTGGAGGTGGTTCAACACCTTCCCCTGGATGCCAAAACGTCTAACATTTGGAATTCTGCTCTTTCCTCTTCTGTGCAATTCCACTCTTGCACACCTTATCATATCCCAAATATCTCTATATTCTTTAGGGATACATGAAGGCAGAATATGACACAGAAATAGAAAAAGCAGAAATTTGTACTGTTAGCACACCACAAACATTACTGAAGAGCACAAACCTAATATTTTAGCTAAAAAACAACAATAAACAAATAATAATGTTGAACTTGTATAGAGAACATCCTCCCAGTCAACAAAGCAGAAAAGCAGATTTCTCTTTTCAAAAAGAGGAACAGAGACACAGTGAATTTGTCCTAAGCCATACTGCCAGCAAATGTTTGAGTTAGGGGGAAAAAAACAGATGCTTCAAGGTTTACGCTAGTATCTTTTCCCTTGATATCATTGCTTGATATCATTGATACGTGCATTGTACAAAGAAGAGTCTCAGATCTGAAACCAATGTTCAGTCCTTTAATGCCAAGGCTGAGAGATGCAGCTGGAAAGATGCTGCATGTGCACTCCCTCTGAGGAGAGCTGCTTCGCAGCTGGTTGCCTCTGGCTATCTACATTAAGACAGCTTTTGAAGAGATGGAGAGGTTGCCATATGTAAAGAACCCTATTGTGAAGGTCAACCCATCAGGTGGGAGGAGAGACAGAATGAGGAATCCTGATGTCCCAGAAGAGATTGTAAGCACAGTCCTAAAGGACTATTGAAATTATCTCAAAGGAAAAGGTGTTTTGAAATCCAAGCAAAGATGTATTATTTTATGGTATTTTTCTCAAAGAAATACAGCTGGGTCTGAATTTAAGGATTCTCTTGACTATCAGTCCTTATATCTCAACAAAATTCTTATTATACCTGTACAGAGCTGAAAAGCAGTGTTAAATGGAGACTAAAATAAATAGAGCAGGACAGTAAAGCTGTCGCACACCTTGCCTATGAAACCATGATGTCAAATACTGTCATTAACCCAGGCCCACAGGTAGGTAAGAGGATCATACCATTTTGCAGCACTAAATCTGGGTAGACAGGATGATTCTGCATTAACCCATTGCTACCTCATACAGTCTTAGATGAAGAAGCTGGAAGGAGGGAAGCCAGTCAGCTTGTAGGATGTGCTTGTTGATGGAAAAGGCAACAGCCAGGACCACAGCAAACAACCCAGAACACAAGTGCTGTATTTCTAGGAAAACCACAGAGTTGCTGACTCAAGCATCATTGCAGAACTGCATGTTGATATATCTGCAGAAAAAGCTTTTGTAGGTCAGCTGCCAGATATTTTGCAACTAGTATGTTTAAGCTCATTACTTGACCTGGGTGTAAATTAAATTCAACCCACTTGGCATCTGATTCAAGGTATGGATACGTGGTTTTAAAGCCTCTCAAAACAGAGATTTTAATTATATCTTGTGCATCATAGCTTCAACCATGAAGCTATTGGATAAATCAGCACTAACCAAAACCTTAAAAAAGTATTTCCAGTCAAAGATATCAAACTTGTACTATTTTCACAAATACTGTTTGAATGACTGGAACCGCACTGTTGAATTTAACTAAATTTTTCTATTCTGACTCTTACTTAACAGCTGCTTGCACTGGAATAAAACCTGTAATGCTATTACCAATAAAGATTACCTCCTTTCCTTGGAGGACCACTGTACCAATTTTTTTGTATTTTAGATATTCTCCTAAACTTCCAAATCTTTTCTCCAAATCAGGAAAAATCATACCTAGCCTCTATTCTCCATTAAACTGTCTCTATCGATGCAGATTTAACCTTTTCACATCTGTACCCTATGAATCAAACACAACATGGGATGGTAGCACACATAAGCCATGTTTCTGATATAATGCAAATTCACAACTGCCACACAGCTAGACAGGAGATGTTACAGAGAACAGCATTACTCTCTGCAACTGGTACCCTTCTAGGTCTGAAGTTTTAGCCTAGAGTGTGTTTATCCTAATTTGTTTTTTAGGAAAGCCTGCTGGAAAGGGTATTGAAAGCATTTGAGAGGTGCTGTGGTTTAATCCTGACCAGCAACTACGCACCATGCAGCTGCTTGCTCATGCTACCTCCTCCCTGGTGAGATGGGTAGGAGAACTGGAAAAAAGAAAAGTAAAATTTGTGGAGTGAAATTGTTTAACAATCAAAATAAGCCAAAGTAAAATACAGTAATAATACAAATACTACTACTGCTACTACTAATAATAATGAGTAAGAAGAAAAGAGGAATAAAACCCAAGTACAATACAGTTGCTCAACACCCAGTGATGGATATCCAGCCCCACCCGACCAAGGATCAGTCCCTTCTGGGTGACTCCCCCCAGTTTATATCCTGAGCTTGACATGCTGTGGTATGGAATACCCCTTTGGCTAGTTTGGGTCAGGTGTCCTGTCTCTGCTTCCTCCTGGCTTCCTGTGCCCGTCCTCACTGGCTGAGCATGAGAGACCAAAAAGTCCTTGATCAGGGTTAAGTGCTACAGAGCAACAACTAAACCGTTGGTGTGTTACCAGCATTGTTCCCAGACTAAAGCCAAAACACAGCACTGCACCAGCTACTAGGAAGAAAATTAACTCTATCCCAGCTGAAACCAGGACAAGAAGTTAATAAAAGCTACTGCCCTTCCTAACATGCTTTTTAACACAGCTTGACCCTTTAAAGTCAGCTGGTCATAGAAGACCCATTTTATGAACTCTAAGCAATTATATTCCAAACCAGTGAAGTCAAACACCAGGAAGAAACCAAGTAATTAGGCACTGTGGAATCTTTTCTTCTCTTGCTAGGTGACAGAAAGCAAGATTATTTCTAAATGCAGACTGTGGCGTGATTCTTCACTCTATTATCCCAGTGCCGTGCTGCTGGGTGTCTGCAGATGTCAGAGATACAGAGCCAATGCATTGAAACAGAGAGGGGAGCCCTTTTTAATGCTCACTGCAGCAGTAACATTCATGGAGTGTGTGGTGGCATAAATGACAGTGCAGCTTAATAGCTAGTCTTTTTTTTTTTTCTTCATTTCTCCCTGGAAAAGCACAATCAGAAGAAGATGAAGCAAAGCCATGTAATTTAATAGTGTCTGAGCTGCAAGCCCACAAATAGCAGCTCAGTCCAGAACATGAGGCTGGAACATATTGGGAGGCAGAGGAAGGGGGAAGCGGTGATCTACTGAGGAGAAACTTTGCTGCAATAAACAAAATAATAATTGCTTATTGCTGAAGTCAGCCATTGCCGAGACCCATATTAGCATCTACAAATACATGGAATCAAGAGGTGCTGTGATTAATCCTACCCCTTTTGCCTCTATTCCTGACTTTGATTCTGTCATGGCAGGTGGCGTCCTTTCAAGTTTTGAATCCTCCTTTTCTCTTAGCAGATAGGCTAGATTGTAATTTTTTCACATACTGACATGGTGAGAACCATTTGATCCCTTCAGTATAATGGGCTGTGCTGTATGCTGCTTTTTACATGGAAAACATGCATTCCATATAAGTAAATTTATATCAAAACATACTGCTTTGCTTTCCAGGTTTCAGGATTGCTACAGCTCACAGAGTGACTAGCTAGGAAGGGTGAGAGATGTTGGTTGGGCTCTGGAATGCGGCACTTACTAAGCCAAGCCTATACATTTTCTGTTCTTGCAATGAGGTCCTGGGAATATTAAATTACCAGGTCTCTCTTGCTGCTTTCTATATTATATTTGGTGGTGTTTTTTTCCAGTGTCAGGTTATTTTGATAAATTTGCACTTGTGAATCCTTCTGCCCAACATTTGCCCTATGGGCAGTGCAGTGGATGAATGGATTTTTTTAAGAGTGCCCAAATCTGAAAGGAGCTCACTTTGAAAACTGTTTAACAGATTGCAAATGGTGAATAAATTATCACAGAAGGGAACTTTTGAAAAGAATCTTAAAATTTCTTTGGTGGTAAATTTTCAACTAAAGAAATACAGCATATACAGATCCATGCTCACAAAACCCAAGCAAATATTTGCCTGGAAAACATGTGACGTAATTAGGACTTTTTCTCTCTTTTTTTGTTGTTTCTTTAATTTTAATTATGACAAAGTATCTTTCACAATTTCCATAGCACAGTAAAGACGTAGCTTATCTTACTTAATGTTACCAGTAATTAAATGATTTGTTTAGATCTTCTTATTTTTCCCATCTGGGTCCACTGGCACAGCTTTTTCCAGGACAGTCAACTCAGACTGAACATTTGTAAAACCTGGCCTTGAAGTGGATGCAAGGAAATTATTTTGGCACAGCCTCTAAACAACAAAGGATGCAGTGACAATACGCTTCATCCTTGTGAACTCGGGGTATATTTGACTGTGTGCTTGTCGTTTCACAGAAAGAACAGTCCACAGTGGTCGCAGCTCTTAGAGTTCACTGCTGTTATAAAAGTTGCCATTAAACTGGGATATGAGCTGTAGACATCTGGGAATGTTCCTCAGCTGATTTACTGGCATTGTTGTTCTTATCCCCAGGTTCTCACTCTGGCT